TGATTAAACACTGTAGCACGATGCTGCTGAAGTCCAGGAAAACAATGAAGGCAGGTGTGAAAATGCTTAAATATGATGGTATAGTTCTGTTTTATTTTATTTACATTAAGCCGAGGACTTCCTTTATGGAAAGAGATCTAGTTGGTTTTGGTTATAAACCCTTGAACTGCTTTTTGTTTGTAATAATGTTGTGCCGCCACAGAGGAGTCAACACAGGGATGATGAGACAAAGCCAAGAGGGAGCACAGAGACATTAAACTGAATTTTCTCAAATACATGATGTGTTTGGATTGTGACAAATTATGTTGTTTTTTTCTTTTGTTTTTTATCAGATTTTTTTCTTTAACCATTGTCCTGCATTAAGACCAAATCTATTCTCTGTCGAGTGGGCCAGCAGGAATTACAATTGACACTTAAGAAAACATCCAATTTAAAAGATCATGAGATGAATCAGTTCTAATTATGAGGAGTATCTTTATCATGTGATTTTTCAGGAGTTAATTTATCTCAATGAAATCAGAGAAACTGCTGGAAAAAGAGGGTCACACTGCTTCCCGAGCTTGTGCATCACGAGTCAGGACACAGTTGTAAACTACAAAAGTCAGAATCAAAGTCAGTTGTTGCCGGATCAGCCAGTGCACCAGTTCACAGCTGAACTGCCTCCTTTTGTCGAGGCAAAGTGGTTCTTTACTACCGCTGCGTGAAATAAACCATCAGCATACACATGAGCGAGTACCATGTCTCCCTCTCTCACAGCCGCGCACGTGCGTGTGCAAATGTTACTGTATTTCCGCGAGTCAATAGGAATCAGAACTGTCAGAGGTCTGACAGGATTTTCACCAACAACCTCGCCGTTGATAGTGCCGCACTCAAACACGACTCACTGTCACATGCAGAATATCAACTAAGATGACACTTGATGTGTATTATCATAATCGTGCGATTACATGTGTATTTCAGATTTTCCCGCTTCAAATGTGAAGCGTGTGCAAGTGTGTGACACCGTTAGACTATCGCTTGCTCTCTCCTTCCTCCACACACACACAAACACACACACACACACACACACACACACACACAGAGAGAAACAGTAAATCCGTGGCTTTGTGTCGCTGTCTCTTCTGGTCCCTCTGGCTTTGCTGTAGCAGAGTGGCTGCCCCACTGATCCCTTGGCATCACACATCTTTGGCACACTCTGCGCACTAAGGTAATCATCATCGTCATCTTCAGCACCATCGTCTTCATCATTAAGCTGGATCAGAATCATCATCTTACCCCCCTCTGAAAAAGCAGCCCTCCTGGTGGCATCCACCCACCCACACACACTCTCACACACACACACACACACAAACATTCCTGTTCACACACACAGTGGCAGATCATCGCTGCAGCTCTGTGGCTCTTCTCTAAAATCCCCTGCACCATCAAAGGGAAAGGCCTGTCTGTCAGTCATGTGGGTGATTATGGGGCTGAGTGACAGCGGACGACTGACACTAAGCAGCCGGGTTGAATGCACCTCAGTCAGGCCTGGCAGGTTTGGGTGACACCGGGGGCTGGGCCGCGTCCCTCACGTACAGGGATTAGCCTCGCCAACTGCCATCTCAGCGCCACTCTGCTCTCACTCACACTAAGTGGCAAACACACACTCACACAGGCAACACATGAGGTGAAGAGTATACATACAGTACAAAAAAGCAGACATGTTTTGCTGTGTGGACACACAAAACAAACCCCACACACACAAATATAAAGTAGTGCACATTCTAATATAATGTATTGGTCCATCTCAGCTCCAAAACTACTGTCAAACTGTTGCAGTCACATCTTCTCCTCATAATCCTGTACATGCAACAGACGCAGACTTTAGGTGCAATTTAAAGCATCGGCTGTTTCTAAAGGGGTTCAACACCAGCTTGTCCACATGCGTTAATGTAACTAAAGCAAAAGATAGAACACACCTGAACACACATGCATTCTAACTGCACAAGTTAGTCATTTTAAGGGTCAAACAAACCAGATATGCATAAATACACTATGGGCTACACAACAGCAACACACACACACACTGCTTTACTTGCACTGTGATCTCCCAATGTCTCAAGTCACACATTGACTTCACTGCAGGATGACTTGGTTCAAGAGGTGGGATTCAGACATGTGAACCTTTGTGCGACTTGCCGACATTTAAATAACACTAAATCAATAGGCTGCACGGTAAATCAGTTTGTAAGTCAGTCTGTGTGCGTAATGTGCAGCAGGTTTTTGTTTTAATGGATAGTACCAGAGAGCAGATACAAGTTCCAGGAAAAACAATATAAGTGAATGTGCATAAGTTAAAAATGGCAAAGAAAAAAAAAAGGTTTTATGTTTGACTGTAATAAAAATGTGTCAAAACAGAGAAGCTGCAATAAAAAATGATGGAAACAGATTTTTTTTAATACCTCCTGCTTCTTCTGTTGCAGATGTGCGACCACATCTGTCACAAGCCACAGAGTCTGGATTTGTAAAATCATACAATGCATGGCTTTCAGCCGGGATGTGTGTAACTGCAGTGTGCCCAGGTTATGATGGCGTTTTCTTGTTGCGTGTCACCTTTCTTTTGTGTAGCCACAGCTGCTGATGAAAATATCACCTTACACAGGTGAATCAGAAATGCTACATTTCTTTGGTAATGACACAAACATTATCTTGGCAATATAAATTTACAAATAAGAAAAAATTTGAATTTGTGTCCATGTCATCGACGACAATCGATTGGTCTTGATATTTGTCATTGGGTGAATAAAAATAAAGCAAAGGTTATTTATCCTCATCTCTTCTTCACTAATGAAGGTAACAAACCATTTTCATGTTAAGTGGAAGCTGCTGTGGTTGTTTTTCCTCTCACTAGGTCACGCTCACTGCCAGCTGGAGGGTTGCAGAAGACATTTTCTTTGAATGTTACATTATCCTCTTCATTGACATTTGGGTGCCACTCAAAGGTACACTGGAGAGTGCTCGAGTATTGTTAATGGAGTTGATGAAGGTTTTTTTTTCTTCTTTTCGCCTTTTCTGTCATGTTCCACTTCGACAGGGACGATACCTTCCACACCAAGCCATCAGCAAGCCTCATTTCACCTCTCAATGAGACAGACCATAATGAGCAGGGCTGAAACCCAGATCACTCATCCCCTCCCTCCCCCTCTCTCTTTCTCCGTCCCCACTGTGCCCGCTGCTTTTCTGCCACACACCTCACTTCTCTCATTAACACCCACACCATACACAGCGATCTCTCCTCCCTTCTCCCCACCCATCCATAACCTCTCTAACCTGGCAGGCTGCACACCTTGAGCTTATTCAGCAGAGTCAAATGCCACCCTCTTTCTCTCCGGCAGCCACTCTTCTGCTCCCCTGCGCTCACATTCACGCCTCGCCTGCCTCTTGGAAATGGGATTGTCTGGGAATCCGACTCTGCCTTTCCCCAACAGGATAATTGAAAATGGGACTGCAAGGGCAAATATAAGAAGAGAGAAAAGAGAAATGCCACATTCTTTTGCAGCCTCTCCTTACTCACACCCTGCCTGTTCATATATAAATGAGGCCCGAGTGGGAGTTTCAGGGAGTTTAGTTTATCTAACACTCAAGCACTCTGTATTTGAAAATCTAGTCCGAATAAGGAAAAACCATGTTCATGTAAATGCAATCCAAACACATCATGTATTTGATCTTTTACACCTGTATGACTGCAGACTTTCCTCACACGTTTACATTTCTCTTGGTATTAGCTTTAAAAGCTACCGCATGTATGTTGACAATGGATCACTACTGCGGGTCGCTCCTACTAACAAACCCACAGAATTATTTGCTGACTCTGCACTTATTCTCATGTCTGCAGTGTGTTCACTTTGCAATGGATGGTTGTTCTCAGTGGAGAGGCTCTGAAAACCAGTGTGCACTGCCTGCGCAGCCACAGACGAGCTGGGTCACAGAGAGGAGCATTTTCCAGGAGTTAGTGGAGACTAGAACATCAGACTTAACATTCATTAAGTGGCCAGAAAAGCAACTTTAACCAAATGTTCCAAACTGTAAAATATTATACTTAGTTACAGACATTATGTAGTTTCAAGAAATCCTCCTCTTGACATCTGAAGCTGCTCGTCAAAATATTTGACCTAGGATGCATCATGTTTCCTTTCTAAACCAACGTCATTTGCGTATTGAAGTGCAATCATAATGTAGGCAGAGGCAAGAAAACAGGAATGTTCAGAATATCAGGCTTAAATGCAAAAGTGCAGGATCAGATGTTCCTATCCACATACTGCACACTTACTGTATACAGTGGTGGCTGGCCAATAGAGGGCGCTAGGGCACCGCCCCACCACTCACCACATTATCTTGAACAAGACAAAAACAAAATTTTTTAAGTGTGCAAGATAAATATTTATAGTTAATGATGAGTAAAGTTGTTTCGTTCATTGACGTTGTATGACTTGTGACGTATTTCCGCCCTGGGGCGCAAAAATCTTTGCCCATAGACTCTCGTTAAAAGTTGCACATGTGCAGTAGCTCCTCTTTAATATAAGAGATAGGACCATGCTGGGGCGCGCCTCTCCTGCACCCAGAGCCACGCCCACAGAGCTCATCATTACCTGGTTAGCTCAGGCTAAGGAGCTAGGCTACATGCTACCCGCTACTGTTAACCGGCTAGCGCTGCGGTGTTGTTGCTCCGGGATGGTCGCGGTCGTAACAACGAACCAAACAGAGGTAAGTTACCCTGAAACTTTAAAACATCAAAACCTATTGATTTATCTATTATCATAATCGTACCACATATACTTACATGCCTCAAGTGGTTTTTAATGTTATTGTGGTAATTTACCGTTTATTTAACACGTCTAATGAACAGATTGAAGCAAGGTCAGAATCAGAAATACTTTATGAATCCCCGTAGGGAAATTCAAACTTTAACTAACTTTAGTAAAGGGTTGTGTTGTCATTTGATTGTAAACCTTCTTCTCCTTCTCCTGTCACCACAAGCTCAACCCTGCTGAAATCCCTTATTAAAGGGGCCACCTACTCCTTCGGAGCCACATTGTCCTCTTCCAGAGCCTCCACGTTGTTGCTCTGTGCAGCCAGTTTGCCACTGTGGGCTTTAGAGCGAGCTGCCATTTTCTCCTTCACCCTCATCACAAGCTCATCCTGCTGTTTGAGCTCCTCGTCCAGAGCCTTCAGTACAGCCCGTTTGCCAATCATGGCTTCAGAGCGAGCTGTCATTTTCTCCTTCGGAGCCACATTGTCCTCTTCCAGAGCCTCCACTTTGTTGCTCTGTACAGCCAGTTTGCCATTGTGGGCTTCAGAGCCAGCTGCCATTTTCTCCTTCACCCTCATCAGAAGCTCATCCTGCTGTTTGAGCTCCTCATCCAGAGCTTTTATTGCAGCCAGTTTGCCATTGCGAGCTGTTATTTTCTCCTTCATCCTCATCAGAATCTCATCCTCCTGTTTGAGCTTCTCTCTCAGAGCCTCAATCTTCGACTTCAATGTTCCACGAGTCTTAAAAACAGAAACATGGAGTTCATTTTTAAAAAGTCCACTCAACACAACCTGAACATACATTTAAAAAAAAAAAAGTTTTACCAGAATGTCCATTTCGGTAAAGGGGGATTTGTGGTTAAGAGAGCAGTGTCGTCTTGATGAATTTATACTGAACAAATCAGTTGTTGTCTCCGTAGGCAGGATTGATGTCTTCACAAACGAGGACTGTGGTCTTCTTAGTTGACGGTCTGTTATTCATAAGTTTGGTAGTTCGAAGGACCAAAGAAACGTCCTCTACAGTCTGTAGGGTTTTTGGTCCTTTGATTGACATCTAAGGATTTGCAGGCCAGCAATCACTTTGATGGTTGCCCCCACAAAAATCATTAAAGATGGTTTTTAAGAAGCAACAGTTTCCATGGCAATTTTTGTAACTATACAACATGGCTGCCCCTGGGGGTTTATCAGGTTGACTTCAATATGATGCACATTGTTGCAGAGCATACACAAATCTTTAGCTAGGCAGCTACTATAGACATGTTCCACAATCCCTCCCCTTGATGCTTGTAGTATTTTTATTTTTTATATTTAATTCTTTGTTTCCTATTTTTATTATTTCTATATTTATACTTGCACAAATACACCACAGCAAATTCCTTGTATGTGTAAACCTGCTTGGCAATAAAACCAGATTCTGATTGATGACAAACAGCAAGTTAGCACTGAACACTTGCAGGCCACAGGGTTTTAGTGGAACTAGACCATCTCCTATGGCCATATTTTTAAAAACACAACATGACTGACCCCGAGGGTGTTTGTTTGTATCAGGTAAACTTCTGTATCTTGCACATCAATACAAGTGTACAGGAATCATTAGTATTTTAATGCAGTGTACACGGCTGCTGGGCTAGGTAGCTATGATTAGCATGCAAATGCCAAACAGCAAATCAGAAATACTTGAGAATTTGTATTTGACTTCTCTGAAGATTCTCTACTGCCCTCTAATCTCTTGCGTTTGGCATCACGACTTGCTGACAGTGATTGCAGCTTCCTTCTAGGTGTGATGTGAGTTGTTGATTTGTTTTCAGTTGCAGTCGCACTGGTTGTTGCAGGTATACAATGGCAGTGCGATATTTTTTAGCTAACTGTTAGATTCACGACATTTTTATAACATTTTTTCAGACACTGTCAAGGTACGTTTGGGATATAGCACTGCTGGTCAGTTCTCTTCTTTGGTCCAAACTGAAATATGTCAACAAAAACAATGAAATCTTGTATAGAAAATAGACTGTATAGATATACGACACATCTTCACTTCCTGCAACATATCTCAGGTAGTGAGGCTGCCATCTCATGCTTTTGCCGTCATTTGGAACCTGAGTTTGAACAGCAGTGGTCATACAATCTCTTCTCCAACCTCCATTCGAGAGCAGAACTTTGGTTGAAAAACTGTGAATTGTTGAAATTGGACCAGATTAAGCTGATATTAAAATCAACTAACAAGCCCGCGAAAAAGGTAAAACGTACACCCGAGGATTTTCCCGTAACTGGTCCAGCTGAAAGGCTTGGCTAGCAGGTTGTATAGAGTATGAGTCATAAGATATCCAGCAGTATATGGCACCTCCTTTTATTTTGTCTTAATAGTGTTTGTTAATAGCACTGTGTGTGTTTCAGGAATGTGTACTCAGTAAACACTAAGAACGAGACTCAGTCTGTAGTCTAATGATGCATACTCTACTTATTATCTGAGCACACGGCAACAACTATTAATAATTTACATTATTTATCAATTATATTATTATAGTTTAGTTTTTTAAATTTGGTTTGTGCAATATGCAGTAAACTGTTAGCTATCTGTTTTTGTGTAAAATGACTGACATGTTTATTTTTGTTTATTGATTAAATAAATACCTACTATTTCACAAAGAACTGCTATCCTGCAGTTTGTATTAAATCGTAGTGAGATGGGTGCTGAAAACTGAGTATGGCACGGCACAGCCCCACCAAGAATATTTTCCGCCGCCACTGACTGTATATATGATAACCCCAGGTGTAAATGGAGTTCAACTGGATTGTTTTCCAATGTGAATATGCAGATTTAGCGAAGGGATGGGGAGCAAAAATTAGCAAATATTTCAATTTGTTCATTCCAGGCAGCTTTTGATTTATATCAATTTCATGCCTCCCATCAGGTGCCATATCATAGACGAAGGTAATAACCCAGAAATAACCTCGTTATGGAGACAGCACTGCGGTCTGGGCACAATGAACTCAGAGCTGAAGAATTAGTGACCTGGAAAGTGGCAGGGAGAGTTAATGGCATTAGCTACATCAGACACACAGCGAGAGAGGGAGAAAAAAGGAAAAAACAGAGGGAGCAGGAATCATTGCCACCGCAGCAAAGGAAGGACGCATAAAAATTAAAATGAAAATAAAAGGAAGGATCCTCTGATGGCTCATTGTTCTTCTCCCCCTCAACATGGCGCCTTTTGATATCAAGAACACAGCATTGTTATGAGTATTTTACCATCAGCATTATTATTATGATAGCTGTTTGAAATAGAGATGCAGCTATTCTTATTGTCTTTGAGTCTAATTAGCTGGAAATGGGAGAAAAAAATGTAAAGTAGGCCGTTAATGAATTATTTCCTTTCATGTATTTTATAGTGCATCTTCTGTTGTTTGTGGATCTGACGTGCACGCACGCTTTGCATGTACAACAGCTTCTTTTACCTGCTGACAAGAAGTGCATGCTGTGTAAATGTCTGTGTGTGTGTGTGTGTGGGTGTATAAGTCCACATATGTGCTGTGCAACTATGTGACAAGAAACTAGGGAGAGCACGTTTGTTTGCTTGTTTGTTAGAGAGTCCCTCGTACATTAACGAGTGCTTACAAGTTGCTCTTGCTAATGTGTGAGCCTACATTACAACATGAAAAGACAAGATTGGAATAAAAACTAACACAACAATCTGGGGGGAAAATGAGGCAAATTGATTATCTGTTTATCAGCAGCTGCTGTTCCGGAAAAAGAAAAGGAAAACAAAGAGAAACCAAAAAAAAACCGTCCACTGTGTAATCACTCCTGAAATGCTTTTGGACCAGGACGAGGACAATTAACAGCTAAAAATTCTGGATGTTACTAAGTAATCACCTCTTTGATATCCAACATCAATACAACTTTGGACACTTTGATATATGAGCCTGCCTTGATGAGCCCAGTGAATACATTAAAAATATGTTTAATTAGCATTTCAAATCAGCGGCACTCAACTAAAAAAGAATATACAATAAAGGAGAAATATGGCTGAGGAGTGTTTATGTGTGTGTGTGTGTGTGTGTGTGTGTGTGTGTGTGTGTGTGNGTGTGTGTGTGTGTGTGTGTGTGTGTGTGTGAGGTGGGGGGCGGGTGAACGAATTAGTCGTGGGTTTGATGAACAAAGAGACTGGCCTCAGAACAAAGCACATGTTTTAGCCTTGTGCCTTTCACCTTCTCTATTTATTTAGAGGCCAGCCAAATCAAAATGATCCTCCGGGCCTCCCTGTTTTTTTTTTCTTTCTGATTTCTCCATCACGCTCATGCTGGAAAATATCCTGTCTCTAATTAATATGACCTTATGAATTTTTCATGTGGCTACATCTTAGCTTTTGAAAGTGCAGTGGGGAGCCTTGAAGTACATGTGTCAGTATTTGCACTTAGCTACGAGGAAGAAAGAGGAGAAAATATGACTTTGGTTGAACTAGTTTGTGATGAATAACTGATGTACATTTTAACCTATTTACTTCATTTTGATTTTCTTCACTCAGCGCACTTGTGCGTCCTCAGATCACTGGAGATGATTGACAGATCAAGACTGCTGGGGTAAAATGATTGCTATGCCCTTATTTATTTATTTTTCCGAGATGTGATGCCATGCCAAAAAGGAAGTTAAGATTTCAAACTGTTCAAAGTGAATTTCAGATGAGGTGTAATTCAATGGAAAATATAAAATGTCAGTCTCGATTCTGCACTGTGGGAAGAGAGGCGCTCTCAACACTTCGCTGGCTTGCACACACTCGCAACCAGCTCAGGCTGCACTGAGGCTTCACTCTCTACTTTTCCTGTACGTTTTTTCCTGTGTGGGTCGGGTGGTGGAAGTTTGTTACATTTACTTGTACTGTTGAGCACACTCTCATGCCGTCCCATGTGGACAGTCCACTCATACCACTGGACAAATGTCAGTTTAAACAACAATGTTGTACAACCTCTGCAGGTAAAATCTGTCCGGCAAGTTTACTCAAAATGATTCTGCATCTCTCAGCTCTACACTCAGTTGTTCCCCATTATTAAGGAACAAGCACCAGGGTGAGATGATGCACGACATTAGCAGAGTCAGTGTTCTAAACACAATGCACAGAACACGGACAAAACATCTCAGCAAACAACAAGCTGGTAATTTGACACTTTGAATCCTTTACACTGGATTAATGTCATTTAGGCCATTTAGACAGTTCTGCGTTTAAAAAAAAACCCACTACCACATATACTCAAACAAGCATGAAAGACGACTCTGGTGATAGTCCACAACAACGATACGTCAAATACCAGAGAAGAACAATGTGGTAGCCAGTATATAGCCGCAACGGTTGTTGTTTGTGGTGCAAAATAAGCTGTAACATCATAATTACCTAAATGCTCTTACATCTAGAGACAGAAACAGGAGCTTTTATAAATCTTTACTTTGCTTGTAGACGAAAGGCCCAAACAGAGGAAAAAGTTTTTGTGTTGTGGACATTGTTTTTATTCACTCTAACGTTATCCTTAACTGAAGCACTTTAAACAGATTATCCCTTGTTGAATTCAAAGAAATGTAAATGTTCTCTATTTACATACAAAACACTAAAAACACTCTCCATCAGTCTATACTGGTTAACTAGCCAATGGTATAGAAAAATCCATTTCATAGACAGCCCCATTAAACAGCTGATTTACTGTTCATTTCCTTTTAACTGGTTTCACAAACTGCAAACATAAATCCAGTTATTCTGTTGTACAACATTTCTGTGTCATTTTTAACTTATCTCTTATTTTATATTCTCAGTTTTGTGGAAATAGTTTGGGACAGTTTCGGTCTGTGTCTCATGGTTAGGGCTGCTTGAAGAGTGCAGAAGAAGACAGAAAAACAAATACAGCTACACTGAGA